CAGAGTATTTTCACTATCAAAAGTTTAGGCTCATAAGTGCAAAAAAATCGAAAAATAATTCAGGAAAAAACATTTGTAAAGTGAAAAATACCTTTGTAGGAATACAAATAAGACTCCAACTATCGTTCAAGTTTCTTACATCTAGATTTACTATGCGTTAAGAGTAGATATTTAAGTATTTCCAATTTCATGCACTTTTGTCTAAGATTGTACGTCCAATACATCCTTAAGCTGAACAATCTCTCTTTGGGCTGTTGTATGATCGGACATTGTATGTCAGTCGATGTGCGGAGTGAAAAATTGATTTCTTCATTTCGATGGATATTAATTTATTTCAAAAAATCTTTTGTGCACTACGACGCTTAATTCCTGTTAATTCATCTAAGTTTCTTTTTCGAATCTGATTTACTGTTATTAATTGTCACTAAATATTTTTTGTAGATCTTTTGCTGTAACAATTGATAGATGTAACGTAAACTACTTGAAAAGAATCAGTATCACGGGTCGAAACGTCATAACTTAATTCTATGAAATACAAAATTTCTACCAGCTTAAGTCGTTTTAATTCTTAATTAAACAAAAAAGATAACATCCCTAGCGGAAAAAAATTCTATAAATAACTACAAAAAATTTATTTGAAATAGAAATTTGTAGAAATTTTTATATCTTCGTGGAAACATTTACTTTTTTTGTAAAAATATCTACGAAATAGTACCACAAATTGCAATGTTCTCAAATCAAGAAATTATTGCAAGTAATATTTCATGAAGATGTACAATTTTGTAAAAATTAGTACAAAACTTTACTAGTTTTAAAAATTTGAGAAACAAAATCTTCAAGAATTAAAACATCTGCTTACTTGTAGAATATTATAAAAATTAACAAAAGTGTTCCAATTCTAGCATTTTCATGTTGATTTTTATAACACTTTAAATTTACGCACAATTTCTTAGATTCTGGCAGTGATATTTAATTTTTTGTAGAATTTTGTAGAATTATTTCCAGCAGGGATACGAGGTCTGTCTTAGAAGGATCCAACCTCTGCGTATATCTTTGTCCTCGGGCATCCTATTTTGGAAATTAAGTATTCAGTATTTAGGGTGGGCCTTTGGAAGCACTTCCATCAAGCGGCACGACCCAACAGCTGTTCAGTTGCCAACAGTACGCAGTTGTGTGAGCCTCGAAAACTCTGAGCGTCGCATTTCACAAAATTCGTTTCACGAGTGCTTACGAAAGATCAAAAGAATTCTCGAGTTGTAATTATCGAAGACATCCTGAGATCTATCAACAAAGATCCTGAGTTGCTTAAAAGGGTGCCAAGTGTTTGGCAAAATTGAATACAAATTCTCTATTCGACTACCCAGATAACAATTCTTGCACGCAAATTTTGCTTGTCTTATGCATGCAAATTTGCATGAGATTTGCCTGAGTTTTGTCCGTAAGATATGTTTAGTCTGTGCTTTTGCACGCAAGTGGCTAGCTCATGTATTAACGTATAATTTTGCACGGAAATATCTATCAACTCACGTACAAAAATGGCTCAACAACGCAAGCAAAATTCTATCCAAGTGCGTCTTCATAATGCCAGATGTTTGCGCGCAAAATATTTTCTGGGTAATTCAGTCATCGTGAAATGCAATCTATTTTTATCTTTTGTTACTGCTACAATCAAAAGAATGAATCAGCTGTCAATCATATTATTTTTATTTCAATTCGTTTATTACATAAAAAGCAGAATCGGTATCGGAAAGGATTTTGAATCTTTAGATATAATATCTTTATAATCCTATGATTTTTGACTGCTTATGCAGTCAGGATTTTGTATTATTTATATGTATATTTTCTTCTTATCGCATTGATTATTACATTGTTTATTAGATTGCATAAGTAACTATTTTTTTCTTGCATTGCTCATCCATTACTCACATTTACAACATAATTAACGTGATCACGTTTGAATAAAAAAGTAAGTGAAAGACAGAAAGTACCATATATATTATGATAAGGCAATGGATACTGTCTGCATCTGTCATATATTTAAGTAAAGGACCTAGAAATCTCTTTTTAAATATAAATCTAAAGTTGCTCTCTTAATGTTATAACGCGTGTTTGTCAGCATCTCTTTCGATATAAATGTCATTATACATATATACGTATGTATATGTATGTATGTACACGGTGTTACGGATGAGGTATCCATCCACTTGTATACAGGTATAGGCGAGTAAACTGAAAGCAAAAATTATGTACCATTTTGTAAAATTTGCAATAGTTATTGAGTAATTAATTCAAACGTCTGTGCGAATAAGGAAAGCGATAGGCCGGACTCGGTAGGCATGTAAAGTAAGAGACGGAGCAATGCGTGACACATGGCACTACGTTGGAAAAAATTGTCAAGCAGTGAGCAGCGAGTCTCAGACGAGACACGTAAACAATCGGCACAGTATTATATGCCACGCATTGCTCCACTTCTCACTATCAAACGATACTCACTGTTGCTAGATCTAACAAATAAGCCATGTCTACCGAGTCCAGCCTACCACTTTTCTCGCGTGTATTTGCTCAACGTTTAAATTAATTACTCGATAACTATTGCGAATTTCACAAATTGGCACATAACTTTTTTTTCAGTTTAACCCGCTCTATCTGTACGAGAGGTTGGACATTTTATCCGTAATACCCTATGTACAGGATGTTCTGTGATGACCAAATCCGCCGTACAATTTAGAGCAAGACAAACTGAATATAAAAGTCTCATGTTTTGCAAAATTCATAATAGTTTTTGAGTAATAAATAAAAATGTCTGGGCAAATAAGCGCACGAAAAGCGGTAGGCCGGATTCGATAGGCACATTAAATGCCTTAATTGTTTCGTCTCGTAACAACGGTGAGCGTCCGATAGCGGGAGGTGGAGCGACGCGCCGGAAAAAAGTTGTCTCACAGTGAACAGCAAGCTTCAGATAATGTTCACTGCTTGTCCCTCACCGCTATGAGACTAAACAAATAAGTTATTTAATAACGTCAGTGTTTTCTTGACTATACCTGGCAGTTTTAATAAGACAGAAAATGTATTGCGAAAAATATCTCTTACTAGGCGTCTCAACCAATTCGACCACCGAGGCATATGATAATATTTGTCGCAATAACAGTATAAAGATGTTGTCTATACGCATCTATTTCAACTTTTTTAAACGGCGCGCCGATAAGGGTTGTCGGCCGTATGCAAAATTGTCGAATACGCGATTTTTAAGTCCCCCCCCCTCCTCCAGGTTCAAACCCTGGCTGAGGTAATATTTTTCGCAAGAAATTTTCTATGTTATTAAAAATGCCAGGTATGGTAAAAAAAACACTGACATGTTAATTATCGCTGGCGACATCGAAGAATTCTTATTATGTGGTTAAGCTATTTAATGTCTGCTGAGTTGAGCCTACTGTTTATCGTGCGCTCATTTACCCAGATGTTTTTATTTATTATTCGAAAACTATTGTAAATTGTGCAAAATAATATGAGACTTTTTGACACAGTTAGCCTCGCTCTATCTAAATTTGATGGCGGATTCGGTCATCGCCGGACACCTTGTATGCACACATAAACACACAGCATAATGACTGACGTTATTTATTTGATTATTATTTGACGTTATTTAACGCTAAATGAACGATCAAAGGACACGGATTTCAATTCCAGAGAGGTTTGAAAACTTTTAGTCTCTGTAATTCTCCCTTCTTAATTTACAATTTTGATTATATTAAGACGATATATTTCATATATCATCAAAGCAAACGCGAACTACCAAACATTGCATTTTTTCTTGGGATTCATTGGTGAACCTAACGGACAGTTGAAAGCCTTAGCAAAGTCTTCGCTATTTGACAAAGGACCTAGCACTCGTATTGACCCGGGCGAATGCACGCTGCTACGAATCTTCGTAAGAGCTTCCTCTGGTCTCATAGATCCACACCAGATTTGTGCATAGTTGAGGAAGAATAATTGATCATGTGTAAGGTTCACTCCTGGTAACAGCGGTTCCTCACCGTGAATAGAAACCCATTTCTTGTAAGCCTGTTTGATGAAGAGAGATTAGTGACATGCTTTCAACACTAAAATTAAAAAATTTTTGTATCTTTCAAATTGATGTCCACTTTCAGGTAAATGTTTTCCAAGGTATAGTATATAAAATCATGATTTTCTTTGAAGCTTTTGGTTCTTTCTACACTGATAAAAAAATATAGTTGAAATAACCATAATTTCACTATAATTTATAGTATCCTGAGGCGCCAAACATATAGAATAGTGCTTTTTACTATGAAAAATATTCTTAATGTAACTTAAAAATATAGTTCATAAAATCATAATATTTATTTCATAAAACCATATAATTATGATTCTCATTGCTAAAATGTATTGTTAAACGGAACATCAGATTGCAAAGTAGGAGGAACTATATATTTATTGTAATCCGTGTTCATAATAATAGTAAACCATATAATAGTACTTCTTACTATTATTTATGGTTGTAAGGTGTACTATAAATATTGCAATAACAACCACAAGTAAAATTTCGAATAACTATATGTAATAGTAATTTCATTATATTCATTGGTTACATCACTTTGCACTCATAAAGAATAGTACAAGATAGCATCTTTCAAAGAAAAGATAAGCTTATACGAATGCGTAAACTTATCCGTATTTATAACACCCTAAGCGGTTTTTTACTTACGAGAGAGTCTTGTACCGCGCGTCCCTCTAGTGAAGACATTCCGAACCACTTCACTTTTGTTTACCATGCGAATAGTAAAGTGGATGATAGAATTGTACTTGCACCTACTATATAAAACTAGTTAATTTAATTACTATTCACCATCTTAATATTTTACCAGAATAATGGTTAAAAGCTTCATAAATAATAGTAAAATTTTTATGCTGGTTGGCATCACTATGCCTATGTGGTTGTTATTACTAATATTATAGTGATAATTACTATAAAAATGATATTCCTGACTATAATTATTTTACTATGCAATTATAGTCGCAAATACTACGTACTTTTCTATCAGTGTAGAACATTGACTTGCACATAGCATACTTTTTATTAATTACCCTAAAAGCCTGCTTGAGACCACCATTGTCGGCAATATTTTCCCCTTGAGTCATCCTACCGTTGATGTACAGATTTACTTCCTGCAATTTATATCTAGAATACTGGTCCACGATACATTGCGCTCTTTCGCGAAACGCCTTAATAGTAGCATTGTTCCACCATTGCATCAAATTACCATCTTTGTCAAATTGACGACCTTTATCGTCAAAACCATGGGTGATCTCATGACCGATTACTACACCAATGCCGCCATAATTCAAAGATTTCGGAAAGTGTTGAGAGTAAAAACGCGGTTGTAGAATGCCCGCAGGAAATACTGAAATGTTAAAACAATAATTATGATTAATAAAATAACAATTATTGCTGTTACGATTAATGTTGTATTGATAAGCAAGCATTTTCAACAATCAAAATAAGACATACAAATTTCCTTATACATACTTTTTGCACAAGGGTAGATTGAAACAACTCTTAAAATTATTATTAAAAATTATTTCGAATTAATTACATTTAATTTCGAGTATTATTAAAATTGCTGTACATGAAAATAAATACTTGAAATAAAAGTTAAAAACATTTTATAATACATATGACTCGGTGATTGCAAAAACTATAGGAATCTAAAATTGTTTTAATTGACTTTATTGCATAAATAAGCTTGTCTTGGATCAGCACGTAATGTGTGAAAAAATCGCATTAGTCCGTGGTCCCAGTTAATAAATATAGGGTTAAATATAAGGTAAACATAAAGTTAAAAAAGAGCGTTAGATGCAGAAGCCACACCGACAATGAGTCACTATACAGTAATTTCCTATATATTTAGTAATAATTTACAGTAATGTAATTTGCTCTTTTGTTATAAATTTTTATGTAACAATGATACAATTTTTTGTTTTTACTATTTTACAAGTAAAATCTGTCAGTTTTTCACTACTGTGATTACAGTTTCATGTTTTCAGTTTTTTGTAATTTTTCAATAATGAAACGATTTTAATAATAAAACATTATTTCACCTGAAGTTATTATTTATTGAGCGTAGAAATAATATGAGTTCAATCTGATTTTTAAATTAAAAAAAATGTTTATAATAAGACTCAACATGCAATTATCAGATTATATTTCTGCAGGATACTTTCAAGGATTGAGCATAAAAAGTTCAATAAAATCAGGTTTTTTAAGTAAGTTGCACGGTTTTACTATCCTCCCGTAAAATTTGAAAAATGGAACTCATATTGTTACTGAACTCACAAATTTAAATTATTTTTCCATACATCTACCATACTATTCACTATTATTTGTGTTAAATTTTTATTTTTAATAAGGTATAAAATTGAAGAGAGTTTAACAAGAAATTCTAGTGTATAAAAATATTTTTGACACGTTATTGTTGAAAAATGAATTATGAACATCATGTGTACGTTTACGTCTTATTAATGCCACTCGGTATATGATAATTCTTTTCTGTATCATGTTTCACATTACAAGGTGATGGCAAGATTGATTTTTCTAATTATTCTATACATATAAACAGGAGTGTCAGTACAGCCCTTGTGGCCTTGTCATAACCAGACCTAAATGTAATCTAGGCATGGAATTCCATACCTCGGAATCTACAGATAAAATATAATATTTCCTGAAAAAATATATTTCTTATTTCATTTATAAAAAGTTTTTTGGGGTAAATATTTACCTTTACACACAGATCAATATCAAAGTCAATTAGAAATCTTGGCTTTCAAGCTTTCGCGGCTGCTGTCTTTTTCAGTCGTAATGGCTTCCGGATGGTTGCCCCGTCCGTTTGCAGTGTGGTGCCAACGTTTCGCAGGCGTTGCAGTCTGCATCATCAGGGCTGGGAGACTCTGATACTGAGCTCCCTTGCGTTGCGGTAGTCCTTAAATACCCGTGTCCCCTTTTTTGGGGGGGTGGAGAGGAGGGGGAAAGGACCGAAGGAAGGGAGAGGAGGCGAGTCAGCCAATCGGGGCGTTGTAGGCTGACTAATTAAAAAACCGGGAGGACGGTGTGCCATATCGAGTTAACCTGATAGCTTTTGTCGCGATTCAGGTTATAAGGGTGTTTCAAAATTTCAAGGCCTTCGCGGTGATTTCGCGCGAAAGAGCTTTGGGACGGGGCCAGCATGGTGGCTTTGTTAAACTGGACGGCGCGGCGGCGCGGCGTTCCGGTCTCAATCTTGTGTTCGACTAGGGCTGATTGTGAGAAGTGGCCGTATTTCGTACATCGCTGGTGTTCTTTGATCCGTGTACCGATCTTCCTCCCGGTTTCTCCTATGTACACTTTTCCGCAAGCGCAGGGATTTTGTAAGCCCCTGGGGCTGCCAAATGGGGTCTCCGATCCTTGGGATTGGGGAGCATTTCAGAGAGTTTGTTGTGTGGTTTGAATATCATTCTAATGTTATGCTTGCTCAAAAAGCGGTCCGTCGTGCTTCGGAGGTACGGGAATATTACCGCCTTTTTCTTCTCTTTCTCTGCCTCTGGCGTTCTAGTGTTATTAAGGCTGGGTTCCTTGTTTGTCAGCTTCTGGATTGTACGGTTGATGTTTCTGCTACTGTATCCATTCCTTGTCAGAGCTCGGTGGAGGTGGTTTAATTCTCCGTCCAGGGCAGCTGGTTCCGAGATGGAGTGTGCTCTGTGGACTAAAGAGCTGATCACCGAATTCTTTTGGGCGAGATGATAGTGGGAGTTTGCATGGAGGTATCGGTCCGTGTGCGTTGGATTACGGTAGACGTGGTGGCCTAGGGTGCCATCCTCGTTCCTGCGGACCAATATATCCAGGAAGGAGATTTGGGAGTTTTGTTCAATCTCCATTGTGAATTGAATGTTAGGGTGCTGGGAGTTGATAAAAGTAAGAAATAGAAGTAGGGTTTTCCTTCCGTGGTTCCAGATGACAAAAGTGTCGTCCACGTATCGGAACCACATGGAGAGTTTTAGTGAAGCCTTCTTCAGGATTTCGTTCTCAAACTGTTCCATAAAGATGTTTGCGATGATGTGTGACATAGGGGATCCCATTGCTGCTTCCGTGGTTTGTTCGAAGAATTCTCCTTGGAACTGGAAATAAGTGGAAGTGAGGCAGTGTTCTATTAGTGGGAACAGGTTGGATGGAATCTCTTTGGATGTCTTGATAATGTCCAGGGTGTCTTGAACTGGGACTTTGGTGAACAGGGAAACCACGTCAAAACTCACCAGGATGTCGTTGCGTTTGGTTTTTATCTTGGTAATCCTGTTCACGAAATCCATTGAGTTCCTGATATGGGAATCGTTAAGGCCGGTGAGTTTTTGAAGAGGTTTGGTAAGAAAGCGGGCTAGCTGGTAGGTGGGGCTCCCAATGTTGCTGACAATGGGCCGTAGGAGCACTGATTCTTTGTGAATCTTCGGAAGGCCGCGGCCGTATAGTCTGGGGGCTGCGCTGTCGCTGGGGGTCAGGTATTTCGTAGTTAGAGGAGGGAGGTTTGCCTTCTTGATAAGGGAGGAGGTTTTCTTCTCTAGGCTGGAGGTTGGATCGCGTTTGAGTTTTTTTGTAGACTTGGACGTCTGATAGCAAGGTGTTGACTTTGTTGTGACAGTGTCTTTTGTCCATCACCACTGTTCGCGTTGCCTTTGTCTGCTGGCAGAATGAGGATGTCGTCATTCTGTTTTAGGCTTTGAAGCGCTATGCGCTCTTCCCTGTTGATGTTTGGTCTAGGAAGTTTGGCTTTCCAGAGGATATAGGCTAGCTGTTGTCTGATGTTATTGCCTGTTATTGCGATGATCATCCCGCCCAAAAGAATTTGGTGATCAGCTCTTTAGTCCACAGAGCACTCTCCAATTCGGAACCAGCTGCCCTAGACGGAGAATTAAACCACCTCCACCGAGCTCTGACAAGGAATGGATACAGTACCAGAAACATCAACCGTACAATCCAGAAGTTGACAAACAAGGAACCCAGCCTTAACAACACCAGAACGCCAGAGGCAGAGAAAGAGAAGAAAAAATACTCCCGTACCTCCGAGGCACGACGGACCGCTTTTTGAGCAAACATTAGAGTGATATTCAAACCACACAACAAACTCTCTGAAATGCTCCCCAATCCCAAGGATCGGAGACCTCATTTGGCAGCCCCAGGGGCTTACAAAATCCCATGCGCTTGCGGAAAAATGTACATAGGAGAAACCTGGAGGAAGATCACTACACGGATCAAAGAACACCAGCGATGTACCAAATACGGCCACTTCTCACAATCAGCCCTAGCCGAACACAAAATTGAGACTGGACATGCCGTCCAGTTTGACAAAGCCACCATGCTGGCCCCGTCCCAAAGCTCCCCTTATGAAAAAATACACTCAATCATACGTTGACGGTCCGAAATAACCATCAAATTGAGTGTAAACCTTCATAATCGAGTGTTTCATGAAGGTTTACACTCAATTTGATGGTTATTTCGGACCGTCAACGTGTGATTGAGTGTATTTTTTCATAAGGGTCTTTCGTGCGAAAACACCGCGAAGGCCTTGAAATTTTGAAACACCCTTATAACCTGAATCGCGACAAAGGCTATCAGGTTAACTCGATATGGCACACCGCCCTCCCGGTTTTTTAATTAGACAGCCTACAACGCCCCGATTGGCTGACTCGCCTCCTCTCCCTTTCTCCGATCCTTTCTCCCTCCTCTCCACCCCCCAAAAAAGGGGACACGGGTATTTAAGGACTACCGCAACGCAAGGGAGCTTAGTATCAGAGTTTCCCAGCACTGATGATGCAGATTGCAACGCCTGCAAAACGTTGGCACCACACTGCAAACGGATAACCATCCGGAAGCCATTACGACTCAATTAGAAATCATTTGGAGCTGGCTGTGTAAAGCTAAATATTTATCCATAGTATAATAATTGTTATACTATACAGGTTGTCGCCAAACGTTCTGGCCAGACTGTAAAATTTTATAGGAAATTCAATTAAAGTTTAAACGCCTTTTTAGGACCTGGCACAGATGAAGGTAGCCACTTGAATTATTATGTGAATCCGTATACCGTATTTATTCCACCCTGTCCTCGCAATAAGAATTTTAATTTTTCAGTATGGGGGAAGGGAGGTTATCGTAAAGAATGCTATGTATAGCATTTATAAAGGTAATTTAGAAAAATTGCTGTGCGATCCCACACAGCACCGAAATATTTCAGAAAGCTCTCAAAAAGTTGTCAATGAAATATGAAACCTTTCAAAAAAATATTTCAGACATGTTTCAGATACATGAAATGTCCGCGTAGATGAGATATAATAAATGTTTCTGAAATATTTCTGAAATGCTTCAGAAATATCTCTTAAATGCTTCGGAAATATTTCTGAAATGTGTCGGAATTATTTCTGAAATGCGTCGGAAATATTTCTGAAATGCGTCGGAAATATTTCTGAAATGCTTCAGAAATATCTCTTAAATGCTTCGGAAATATCTCTTAAATGCTTCAGAATTATTTCTGAATGATTTCTATATTACATTTCAATAATTTTCAAGTTATATGTTGGATAGCTTTCAATAATATATGTTTTAGAGATTACATACGAAATATTTCTTTGAAATGTTTCGTAATATTTCTGAAATATTTTGTGTGAGAAGGATCATAAATGATTGCGATGAAACATTTTAGAAATATTTCTGAATTATTTCTATATTACATTTCAATATTAATTTCCAAGTTATATGTTCGATAGCTTTCAATAATATATGTTTTAGAGATTACGTACGAAGTGTTTCTATGAAATGTTTCGTAATATTTCTGAGAAATAGAAACATTGAGAGAAATAGAAAAATAGAAACATTTCAGAGAAATATTTTGTAATATTTCTGAAATATTTCAGTGAGAAGGATCATAAATAATTTCGATGAAACATTTCAGAAATATTTCTAAATGATTTCTATCTTACATTTCACTATTAATTTCCAAGTTATATGTTGGATTATAGCTTTCAATAACATATGTTTTAGAGATTACGTACGAAATATTTCTCTGAAATGTTTTGTAATATTTCTGAAATATTTCAGTGAGTAGGATCATAAATGATTTCGATAAAACGTTTCAGAAATACTTCTGAATGATTTCAATGTTACATTTCAATATTAATTTCCAAGGTATCTTTTGAAAAGCTTTCAATGACATGTGATTTTGATGAAACGTTTCAAAGATATTTCTGAATGATTTCAATTTTACATTTCAATATTAATTTCCAAGTCATCTTTCGGAAAGCTTTCTGAAACTTGTTTTGCTGCGTGGGGATATTATCACACGTGAATTCACTGACGATAATGATTTCACCTAAGGAGAAACAACCTGTGTTTGTCCGTTCGTAACGGTACGCAGAACAGGGTGGAATAAATACGGTAGATGGATTCACATGATAATTCAAGTGGCCACCTTAATCTGTACTAGGTTCTGAAAAGGCGCGCCTTTAAACTTTACTTGATTTATATCGTAAAAGGACCGTGTTACAAATTTAGTTGTTTATAGGGAATTTCTGAACACAAAATTTCCTATAAACAAAATATCGATGAATAAAAAAATTCCTTAAGAAGTTAGCGCCCAAAAACTTCTAAAATCACATTTTTTTAAATACATTTTTGAAATATCTAGGAAAGTATAATACAACTTTGTTAACAAAAAGTATCGAAACAAAAGTTATAGAAAATTAAACCATCGTTCAAATAAAACCAAAATATTGTTATTACGCTTCATAGGTTTTCAGAGAACCAGTTTTAAATGCGAGAAAAAGCGCTTTTTTGGTTACTGATAGCAAAACTTTTGAGAAATACCCATTATTTGTAGAATTATGATCTTAGTTAATTTTTAATGTTTATTTTGATTGTTGGCTATTCCACTAAAAAACTTTACTTTTCTGTATTGTTTTTTTCTTTCAATTTTACTTTTCTACATTTTGTTTGTACTTTTTTGTGTATTTAACTGGTTATCTCAAGACTTATAATAAAACGTAAAAAATATTTTTATCATATTTGAAAGATACCACAAACCGACAAAAAAGCTGTTTTTCATACCTAAAGATCAGACTAGGTGACCCCAAAGGTTTTTTGTGTGCTGAACATGAATCCGTTGTCCGTTTTTCCCTAGCACGTCAGGATTCTAAGATATTCTAAGCTAAATGTGGAAAAAAGGCCATTTTGAGACATATTTAAGTTTATGTCACACGTAGAGGAAAATTTTTTGCTTATTACTGTTTCTGATAACTTATAGTACAAGTTTTCCCCTTTAATTTCCGTTTCTGCACGTCTCAAAACGATTCTTCCTGGCCGAAATATTGCACATTGAAGTTGAGATAATTTCAATGCTAATAAAAATATTACTACAAATGTAGGATACCAATATAGGAATACAATAAAGAGGAAATTTGAGGCCAAATTGCACATGGCTTCCTCATAGAGGAAATTTAGTGCCCGGATTAAAATTCTACGTAAACAATTTCCATTTTGCAACTTTAAACTACCCTTCCCTTATACTTTGATAAAACTTAACTTGGTATAAACAAATTCTCAATTTGATTAATAAGCAATTCCATTTTTCAGTCTAAAACTAACTTCCCCTTTTCTTTGATCAGGCCCAATTTGCTAAAATCAACTTGCTCGGTTGAGTAGGAAGCAATTTGCAAATTTCTATTTTTTGTCCTTCTTTAACTTTATACTTAATTGTGTACTTTAACTCATCTAGTTTCCTCTATGTTTTTATTAATTATTTTGCTGAGAGAGACTATGAGATCAAAACATACATACACAGAATGTTCAGTTTATCATTTGACAATAAGCTATTGATTTTAATGTAATCTATATTGTTCATGTTTTGTAGCCCTTGACTTTCCTATATTTGTTATTATTTAAAATGATATTTTAAATTTCATAAAAATAAGATTAGTTTGGAGATTTATTGAAAAATATTATATTTTAAAAAATTCTAGCTAGTTATAACAAACATAATATCTCTCAAACAGTAGTTACAAAGTATGGTATACCTATAAATGTTTAAAATTTTTGCTTAATACATTTTGTATACATAAAGCAATAGTTTCGATAATATTAAATTAAAATCACATATACTGAATTAGATCCTAAGAGTTGTTTCATCTTCTGACAGTGTGAAAATGTACAAAAATACATATTTCCTACACTATTTTTAACAATTCTATGACATATTTAAAGTGCACCCAAATTGATAAAGAGTAATTCTAACAACTTCTTTATCAAATAAGTATACATATAGTCT